TTCTTTCTGCTGCAGATGCTTGATGCGGGGTGGGATTTTTTGGGATGGTTGTTGCTTTAGAACACTATTGGATCAACAGCATTAGCGAAAAGTTAAGCACAAAACATATAGGCTGGGTGTTTCATCTGCTCCCTAAGTGACCAGGGACTGCAGCAGTCTTGCTAGGGCGGTGTTACTCCTTCCAGCTGCAGGAATGGCAAGCGCTCTGGCTGTGCATGTTGTTCTCTTTTTATTTCTGTTTTGTTGAATCAAGTGCTTCTTGGAAACCGCCTGTATCGGAGCCAGTTGCAATCCCGGGAGGACGGTCAATCTCTTACTTCTAGCCAGCCGTGCAGTGCCCTCTGGTGCACATGCACAGCAGCAGACTGCACAGCAGGTATTGATCAGAATTGAAACAAACTAACAGGAAGAAAAATAAAACGATCATGTTTGGCAATTTACTTCTACACTACTGATGTTTATGTGCTACATTACTAAGGCTAAATAGTTGTGACGAGGAGCTTTGCTTAAGCAGGAGTTACAAATCAACTGTCAGGGTCAAATCCAAGCCATGATTCTTCCTTACGTCACCCCCTGATTGAAAAAAACGCTGGCCAGTGAAGGCTACCTGAAACCACGATCTACCCTGGATATTTTGTTCATTATTGGATCCAAGAGATATAAGTGACCATTAATCTTAACACATTGAGTGCTCTTCAGGGAAGGGACTGTGGCCACAATGCAGTGTGTATCTTGAATTAGACCCCATGTTTTTATTTGTTGTATGAAGCTACTAATACACTTTGGGTGCTATGAGCATGATAGAGAATAGAATACCATGGGGGACAGATGCATACTAATTTCATACCCATTGTGAAGTCCGTGTACTATCAAGTAACTAAGCATGATCCATTGTTTGGACTGGAAATAATGTAGCTAAAGGGCCAGGCAACAGTAAAATGCTTAAACAGCGTCCCAGAATAACAGTGCTATTCAGTCTTGTTGCTACTATATGTAGAACTGACTTTTTAATGAGGTATATCTTAATCTGATAGAAATCAAATTTCTGATTGCAAAATGGTTAATTTGAAGCAAAGTGTAAACCAGATTGCATTTGATAGAGGAACCAAAGGATTTGTTTGAATAAGCCTGAAGCATGTCCTCATAATCAAGCTTTTCTGAAACGTCTCCCTTTCCCATTTCTCCTGACTGATTCTTCTCCACCTTGCTAAATCCAACCTGCTTTCTAGCGTCCTGGGTCAGCACCTGTCGACTCTTCTTTTGTCTTCTTGCTTCCTGTTCCCCTCTTGTCACAGCTCACTCTGCAACACGCCTATGCCCTTTGCTGATATTCAAGCTCCAGGACAGCCTGAGGCTGTATTTCCCCAAATCAAAACAATTCCGCATAAATCCAACTGATCAGACCTGGAGGCACCTATCTGCTCCCTACAAGTATCACTGTCTAGTGAGCTGCTTCTTTGCCTTTTATCTAAGGCCCAGGTGGCCTGCACTGTGACTTCAGTCCCAGCCTCAGACCCAACTCCTGGAAGGCAGCTGATTAGTCGCAGGTGGGTCTAAATCCTCCTCCGTTAAAGGGCCAGCCGATTTTGTGACACAGTGATTCAGGCATGCATAGCATTGGCAACAGTTGTGTGGATTCTGCGTTATCTGTCACAGTTGTCTTTGCATTTCAGAATCTTTGTAAACTGGGGCTGGGGTTCCTTTCTCTCCTGTCTAGTTTGTATGGAGCCTTGTATATGTTATCTCTGCCTTCATGCTGGAATGGTTGTGTGAATACCAATAGACGTAATCAGATCCATCACTTGGGAGACAGCTAATTAGTCGCAGATAGGGGCTAAGCTCAACTCCCTTAAAGGGCCACCCAACACTGGAAAAAAGTCCGCCCACGCAGTTTACAGAACCTAAAAAAGTAGCTTCATTTTAAAATGCACCGAACACCACAACACTTAGTGAAATTGATGCAGCACCAGTGAAAAATGGCTGCCTTTTGGGGTTTTTTTTAAATATGTCTGACTTCAGGCACCCAAGTTTGAAAGTGTTGCCTGAAAGCACCGCCACGTACCCTACAAAAGGAAAAATTCAGCAGTGAGAACACTGAATGCTGCTTCTTTCAACTGAAGGCAATCAGTCAGTCTCTCCATTCCATTCACTTTCATGACAGAGTTCAAAAAAAGGAGACGTATAAGACTGAGGAAATTTATTTACTTTTTGTCTATGAACAGTATGACATATAATTATAGACAAGGTTTGATACACAGGAAAACCCTTTTGTCAACTTTTTTTTTTTTTTGCTAAATGAAAGAGCACAACAATCTTTACACATTCATATTGTTGTTTTCTTTACAATACACAGCTTTCTCAGGTTGAAGCAAACTGTAAGAACATATTGGGTACTGGTATATTACAGCTACTTACATCATTTAAGAACAGCAAATGGAGAAAAATAAGTTATTTAAATACTGATTTCATATACAGAAAGTGCAACATTGTTAGTTGTTACATAACTTGCTTGACAGTTTTGTTTCCCCAGAGGGTGTCAATTAAGGATGACAGTATCTTGGACCAAAAGTATTATTTATTCTAAAAATAATACAGTACAACTGTACAGCCGTGACTTGGTGAATTGACCTCTATTGCTGCTCTTAGGGAGAATGACCTGGCTGAATAATATAATACTTAATGCCTTTGATCACATTCCCATGCTCCCAGTCTCATCCAAGAGCACAGGGCCAGGGACATGGAGTATATCCTAGCTACTCAGATGGTAATACATGGGCATTAATAGGCGCTTACAATTGTAATGTTGCTTGTTAATATTTTGGGAATGCTTCTTCCCTTACTAAATAGCTTTTCAAGTTAGAATTGCACACAGTGGACACAGAGCAGTACTTGTCTGAGCAGAGCGGATTAGGATTTCATCAGCAGGCTTCTTTTGTGCTTCCCAATAGCCAACGAGCTAACTTTTGCTTGGAGTGTTGCACTTCAAAAGGAAATTGTAAAGAATAGGATATTGTTGTTACACCAGGCAATCCCCCACCTGTCCATTGAACTGCACTGAAACCAGCAGGAGAAGCTCACACTGAGCAGTGTAAGGCTTTTCTAAGATCAAAATATATGCTAAAAATATAACACAAAAGAAGACTGAATGGCAGACTTTAAAAACCAGATCAAAGAGCAATATTAACAACAAAAATCTCAAGGAATCCAAGTCAGAATGGCCTCCTCATGGCAAAGTCGTGATAGGTGTGTTTTGATTTCTCCATGCTATTAAATCATTCAAAAGGCATAGGAATTACAATGAGTGTTTGGGACATGGAGAGCTTCAGAAATCCAGATTGTTTCCTTCTCTGCTGTGACTCTCCCTCTGTTATTAATCAGGTTGGGGAAAAAATGAACGTGAGGGATTTTTTAAATTATATGACTTCCTTTTTCCGTGATGAGCGGAAGTTGTTTTCCTTTTGTATCAGACGATGCTTCATACTCAAACTGTGCATAGTAAGCAGTCCCTTACCCTTCTGAACTGCTAATGGGTATTCTGCAGTCTGCTTACTTTTAATCATTGGTGACCCCAGCTATCAGTGGATGTCTCAGCACTCCTTCCAGCTACTGCTTTCTATAAGGCTTCCCTTTAAGCCTTAGAGCAGGATGACAGACAAATCATTGCTATAACAACCAAGGCCCAAACACTTTGTTCTTTTGTAAGAGTTTAGCCACCTGTGCAAAACATTCAGTTATGTCACACATTCCCTGATGCTGTCACACTAGAGCAGGGGTAGGCAACCTATGGCACGGGTGCCAAAGGCGGCACGCGAGCTGATTTTCACTGGCACTCACACTGCCCGGGTCCTGGCCACCGGTCCGGGGGGCTCTGCATTTTAATTTAATTTTAACTGAAGCTTCTTAAACATTTTAACAACCTTATTTACTTTACATACAACAATAGTTTAGTTATATATTATAGACTTATAGAAAGAGACCTTCTAAAAACGTTAAAATGTATGACTGGCACACGAAACCTTAAATTACAGTGAATAAATGAACACTCGGCACACCACTTCTGAAAGGTTGCCGACCCCTGCACTAGAGCTTACTAGTTCTCCAGTTCCCCAGAGAAAAGCACTAATAAGGTTTTAGACAAAATCCAGAGGAGCTCTGGATCCAGAACAATTTCAGATGATATGAGGAAGTGAATTAGTTATGCTGTACACATTGGGGTCTTTAATTCTGATGGCAGAATTTAGGGCAGAGGTGATAAAAATAACAGAGGCTGGTGACAACTGCAATTAGGTAAATAAAACTGACACCTAATATTACACTCAGAGCTAGATTATCACCATAGGTAAAATTTACAGCGTACCTGATTTAGGGTAGGCAATAATAATAGTGCACTCTCAGCACTTCATTCATCAATCTGAATGCACTTTATCAGGATGAGTAAGCATCATTATCCTCGTTTTATGAGTGGAATAATTGAATCTCAGAGAGGGGAAGTGACTTGCCTGAATTCACCTGGCAAGCTAGTGGCAGGGCTGGTAATAGAAACAGATTTCTAGGCCTGTGCTCAGATCACTAGACTACATCTTTCAAGTCACCTGCCAAAGGAAAGCCTACTCTGTCTACAATGAAGAGTTTCCACTACTGTAAGTTAAAGAAAAATACATAGGATATAGACACCAAAGAAAAAATCTAATTAATGCTATTCATGGTGATTTGTATTTGGTATATAAAATGAGTGCCCATGTACAAAAATAAAATCTGTTAGTGTCCACAGCGGAGATTTTACAGTGGGTTAGACAGAAAATAGGATCATTATTTTATGGACAAAAAATGGTTTGTCCAGCATTTCAGAACGACACTTTCTTCTGAAGAGAAGATATTTCAAACACTCGATACTGGGGGACATCAAGTTTTGTAAAATTACAGCATAATTCATAAGACTCTGAGTTTTTTTTCCCCCAGGCAGTGAAATTACTGCTCTGATACTTTCTATGGGACACAGTTTGCTTCTTCGGTGCATTTTATTTCCCCAGGGCAACCTTTCATTTGAAGAAACCAATGTTTTGAATTGATATGGTCAGGATACCAAGTCAAAGCTGCAGTATAATGATTGACAGTATAACACAGTACATAAAAATATGATTAAAATGAAAAGCAGTTACATATATACAAGGCAAGATAACTTTGAACATTTTAATAACAGCAGCAAATGCAGACCGCTGCGAACAGTTAGCCTGACAATGGAAACTCTGCATTTGCAAAAGCACCTCTACAAACAGAAGATGTTACGAGACAATCTATAGAAGTTACTTTAACTGAAAATCACCCTAAGTGCCATGGAACGACGACAGGATGAAGCAAGGTTGGATACAGATAAGTGAACACTAGATAACTGCTGACAAGCTGATTTTAAGGCAAGTAAAAAAAGCTGGTTGCGAGAAAGCAGTTACAAAAATGACCCCAATTCTATACACAAAAGGAGTTTTGGACTCTGTTAGGTTAGTTGTACTGGAACAACCGGAATGGTCAATATTGTAAACTAATTCCAATCCATTATTCTGGCCTAGCTAAAGGCTCTGTGGTCTACAGGAACTATACCAAGCAACAGAGAGGATGACAAAAAAGGGTATGTATTTAGCATTTGATTGCTAAAACAAACAAAACAAGCAAACAAAAAACCCAAGAAGATTTGCTAAACAGCTTTTGCCGGTGAGCTGCACCTTGGCTTGTACGTGGCTTTCAGGGCTGACTCTAGGTAACTGGGACCCAGCTTTACAAAAGGCCTTCTATTCATAGAGACCTTGCAACAGAAACAGGGCTGACAGCGGGTGTAGCTGTCACAAACTTGTGGAGAGTGTGCAAGGGTCCCTTAGCTTAATGGTCACATGGGGTGCTGTCTAACCACAGGCTAGCCCTGTGCACTTTCAGAACTAAAAATACGTTGTTGTTGAGGACTAAGGAAGTACCACACTTCTGTTACCTGGCAGTTGCTTCTTTTCTCCTTTAGTTGCTAAAGACAGAAAAAAGGAAGATCCTCTGAGGAGTTTATTTGCCTATCCCTGGGATCCACTTGCTTGATCCCATTTGCTGTGTGGAGAAATTAGGGCAAAACTGGTGCAGTAAGAAGCAGCGGGGTCTCAGGCAGTGCCACATTCCAGAGCATGTTAAATTGCCTCTGGATTGAGGGGTTTGAAGAGTCTTGCTGCTGCCAGGAGCTTGCTTATGTGCCTCTCCTCTGTGATGCCAGCTTCTTGAAGGCAAGTTTGTGACAGAGAAGGCACTTTGCTTAGCGTGTTGAATCCTGCTTCTGTGAGTGAGCTAGAATACATAGGCAGGCCAATAGAAACCAGCCAGTCAGTTATAGATGTGATATGTCCAGGGGATACAGGTTTTCGGCAGATTTCAGTGAGCCCTCCGCTCGGAATCTGGATAGAGACAGAGAAAAAAAAAAGTAACCTTTTGACTGCTTAGTTTACTCTCAATCTTCCTCTGCACCTCCCAGGCGGTAAGAATTTGATAGTTTTAGAAAAGGAATGTTTCAGACCTTGATAGCTATTTCTCCTGTGTGTGTTAGGCAATGAGAAAGTCATTTGCTGACCACCCATTCTACTCTTTTTAACTGGTTCCCAATATGCTGTTAGTAGCTGGTCGTAGAAATATAGGGCTGGAAGAGACCTTGAGAAGTCTGTCCCCTCAATCTGAGGTAAGACCAAGTATATCTAGACCATTTCTGACATGTTTGTTTAATCTGTTCTTAAGAACCTCCAGTGACAGGGATTCCAGAACCTCCCTTGGAAGCCTGTTCCAGAACTTAACTATGCCTATAGTTAAAAAGGTTTTCCTTTCTAAACTAAATCTCCCTTGCTGCAGATTAAACCCATTACTTCTTGTCCTACCTTCAGCAAGTATGGGGAACATTGATCCCCTTTCTTTTTATAACAGCCCTTAACATATTTGAAGACTTAACAGGTCCCCGCTTAGTCTTCTTTTCTCAAGACTAAACCTGCCCAGTATTTTTTTTTAATCTTTCCTCTTACATCAGGTTTTCTAAACCTTTTATTATATTTGTTGCTCTCATCAGAGATGCCCAAGACTGAATGGGCAGGGCGACTCAACTCCACTCTCAATAGTAGAAGTAGTTCCCCTCCAGCACAGAGGGAGGGAGGGGTGAGGGGTGGTATGCTCTGCTGCTACCTGTGCTGTGTCTCTGCGAACATAGACAGGATTTCAGTCTCCCAGGCGATGAATCCAGTACCCTTCACCATCATTCAATTAACTATGTATTTATAAGCAAAGAACGTGGTATACAGAGACACTCACTGCCATGCGGTGCTGCTTCCTCAACTGCTTCACCCGGATTTGGTCCATGTTTGTAGCAACATCCTTTTCAGGCTGCTCTAGGTCTTCAGAGTATCTCTGCACCAAAGCTTCAGGAATCCCACAGCGACCATGCTGCAAATTGCCATCCAGCCACGCAGGAGGAAGGAAGAGGGAAGGTAAAAAAAACCCAGAAGCAATACAAATCAACAAAAGATTTCTATACAAACATCAAACACAACATGACAAGGGGAGCTTTAGATTTCTCTGAGAGTCACAAAGAATGGGGTTTCATTTAGTGTCAACAATACCTACAGAGGAGCGTTTGGGACACTGGTCCATAAAGCCTTTACCATTATACATCCTCAAAGGGTGAAATTCTGGCTCTACTGAAGTTAAGAGCAAAAATCCCCTGGACTTCAAACAGGGCCACATTTTATCGAAAGTCTCTCTGTGCCATCAAATAGTTCCACCAGTGAAATCTGCCTCTGACAAGTTGTAGGGCAGCACACGTTTTGCCATTCAGAAATTTTACTAGATATTTTGTTATTCTTTGGCTTAGTCAGAAAACGACTGTCATCAAGGCTGGAGAAAATTGATCTGATCACTATGGATTTTCTGGTTCTTGACTTGTACAATTTGGAAGATGTCTGACAGATTTAGGGGTCCTCTGGAGATAATGATCAGAGTTAGTGTTGCATTAGGAACATAGGAATTGTCAGACCAGTGGTTGATCTAGTCCAGTATCCTGTTTCCAACAATGAGTCAAATAGGCAATTCTGGGGTAGCCTATGCGAAGGAACATTTCTTCCTAACCCCCATTAGAAGTTGGCTTTTGCCCTTATGCAGTATATATTTTATACCCTCCCAAAACCTTTGGTGTTTTTTTGACCTCTTTACAATTATATTTCTATTCTTCACATAAACAGATTCATATGCACTTCCCTCCAGTTTGGGGACTGATATTCCAGTCAATAAGAGATCCCTCCTCATCCCTAGCCATTATGCCAGAGAAGTAGTAACTTCATACGGGCTTTCAGATGTATCACTGAATCATTTAAACAACAGGGTAGCAAGAATACGTTCATAAATTACCTTTAATATCCAGTGCAAATTAGAGCAGCTCTGAGAATGGGGGGTGGGGGGAAGAGGATGGAGAGGAGGCAGGAAGTCATCTATGTCCCTCCCCCTGAGTGCATTGGGTAGAAGGTGAGGCATACTTGAGGATATGGTCCTGTGTGTGGAATCTAGTTTACACTAAGCTAGATGTGGCTGTTCAATATTAATATTATTTGTATTAAGGTAGCTTCTTGGAGCTGCAATCCTGGACCAGGCCCCATTGTGCTAGGTGTGATACAGTAAGGCAGAGTGCAAACGCAGTCTGTGTAGGACAAACTCTGCTCCATTTCAGCCCCGCACTAGGCAAGAGTGGAGTGGGAAACACCTCTTCCCTCCCAGCAGCCAGGAACATGTGGAGAGAATGGGAGATGAAACTGTCTTTTCATCATACCCTTTCATTGCATCAACTCATGCAGCTGCTGCACTACGATGACAAAGTGCTGTCACATATCAGTGGAGTATCAAAGCACTATCGCAAGATTAGGGTCTGTCCCTGCAACTTCCGCAGTTAGACGCACTTAGGGTGGCACATCGTTGCCTTACATCATTAAAACACAAAGCATTTAATCGGATTGACTTTCACCATTTATTCTCTTTGTATCCTTGTTGCACTTCATCCAGCATGAACAATGAACCTCAACTGATCAGTTTCCCTGCTCAGAATCAGCACTCATTTGAAGTGTGTGTATACATGTATTTCTCCCAAACTTTTGTTCCCTTAAAGGGTAATTGCAAGGTTTTTGGTCAGAAAAAAGTGGACATCAAAGCAAGCTGACTAATAGCTAATGCCTGTTGCTGGTTATGTAATTAATGGTAAGTCAGCAACACTGGGTGATTAAGCTGGCTCCACCCACTCCTCAAAGTGAGATGAGGTCCTGATTTTCAAAGGAGCTCAGTTCTCATTTAGGCACCTATTTACAGGTGATATTTTCCCAAAGTGCTCAGCACCCAGCAGCTCCCACTGCTACGCTTATGGCTCCATTTTCAATAGCTCAGCACATTGGGTGCTGAACCCTTCTACAAATTCCAGCGAAGGTCTCTGAACCCACCTTAGTTCTGAGAAGCATCACTGGTGTGAGAAAGGAAGGACAGAATAAATGGGCGGACCTGTGCTGTCTTTCAAAGGAATGGCTATGGAGTAATCAGGGTCAGCCTGGATCCCAAACTCATGCCCAGATTCCCATTTCCAGGAGTTGCCTCCTCGTTAAGCCCTCTTGCTGAAGAGTAGGGAGGTATGTGGTTCTATTCTCTCTCAAACCGTATAGTTGGAGAAGACAAACCCATGCTGGAAGTAGCAGAGCTTGCAGGAAATGCAGAGTTCAAAGTAGGGTGACCAGACGTCCTGATAAATCGGGACTGTCCCGATATTTAGTTGTTTGTCGGGACGCATCGGTGGGGACGCACTCCGGTGTTTTGGTTTTTTTTTGCTCCGCCGGCGACCCCCCTCCCCCATGTGTCCCGATATTTTCTTCCTCTCATCTGGTCACCCTAGTTCAAAGCAGCAAGGCCCCAAACAGCTATTTACTTTACTGGTATTGAAAGGCTGCCTTTGGGTGTGAGGCCTGATATACACAGAACGGACTGTCAGACTAACAACAGGGCGCCTGAAAGATATTTCCATCTTTTCCAATGATTTATAGCAGACAAATAATGCACCAGATACAGTGAAAAGTGAGCTGTTATAAAGACCAGAGTTAAAATGTTGAGACATTAGTCCCTTCTCACCTTGTCTGAATATGGTTCCTCTGTGAGATCAATCTCTTCAGACTGCAACTTGTTTTCTATCAACATTTCCAGATCCAGTCCTCTAGTACAAGAGACTTTCCTGGCTAAAGCAGGGCCTAGCTTTACCACATGTTGCTGAATGCTAGCAGTCTCAGAAAGCTCAGCTAGCCAAGGGGGCAGTGTGCTTGGTGGGGTACTGGGCTGCTCAGAAGAGGGTCTACAGGCAGGTACTACACGGCAATCAATGGGGCTGGATGGACTGGCCCTTTTTACTGGCAAACATGGTGCATCTGGACTTGAAAGGGCTCCACTTAGGGTCAGAGGGGGATGATATAGTCCATTAGAAAGGCGTTCTCGGCTTTTTTTGGCAGGGACTGGTGGTGGCTGTGAAGGATTTTTTGACTGAATTCTTGCCTCGCTCACGCCCTTTACCTCAGCTTTGAGACCTTCCTTGAGGACTGGAGAGTTATTAGCCCTTTCAAGGTCATGACTGCTTTTATGATGATTTTCCAGAGGTGTCCTTGTTACGTTGTGTGTAACTGAAGTAGGCTGAGCCTCCCAGCGTTTAAGCAGGTACTGAGTAGGAGTCCCACATGAAGTCTCTGTTACTGAGCAGTCCAATTTCCTAGCTTTTCCCTTCTGAGAGTCAGCAGTTCCTTTACTTTGCTTAGGTAGATTCTCTTCTGCCCTCATGCCACCCCCAGGAACCTTAGGCTTCAGGACGGACCCAGTTGTCTTTTTTGCTACATCCAGTGCATCCTGAGGGAAAGAATCTACTTTCTTACTAGTGTTCGGTAGGTCAGTGCTGGATTCTCCTTGGAGGTCATCCAGTGAATGAGATCTTGGCCACTTGGCCACATTCTGGGTGCCATCCAGAGTCTCACAGCTCCGGCAGACAGCTGCTGGTAAACTTCTGCGGTTCTTCTTCAAACCTGTGATGCTTGAAGGCTTGATGCAGCTCTTGGGAGCATGATGAAAGCAACTCAACCGGATTTCCTTCTTTCCTTGCTGGAGAGCTTCTATCGATTTAGTCAAAGGCAGAGTTGGATAACTTGGCAGTTGGTTTCTGTTAAAGCAGTGCTCACTGGCTGACTTTGTGGGCAACAGACAGGTCCTCCGAGTCTTGCCTAAGAACAAAAGACATTACAAATCATTGGAGGAGAAATGTACAAAAGAAGCACTGCCAGGAACCTGCATCACCACTAAATGCCTTTGAAACACAAGGATTCTTCATTGGTAACTGAAGACATGTCTATGTCTTGTCCCTTTTTTCTGGTGTCTCTGCCTATGCTGCACTTCAGTACAGTTCTGCCCAGACTCATTTGAGAGCTTCTAGTTTGACTTAGAAGAGCTGCTTAATATCCCTAAGTAGTGAGATAAATTTAAGATAAATTCTAGTCTTTACCCAAATTTGCAAAGATGACATGGTCCAGCTGGCTTAATACACCTTTTCTTGGTGTAGCTACAGCCTATACATTATGGTAACAGATTTGACCTCTACAGAGAAATAACTTATAAAATCAGACAGTTTGTGCATGTTTGTGGCTACATTAGGTCAATAATTATTTGGTTTCTAATTATGCTTGAGAACTCACTCTTGAAGAATGGATTTTTATCCCTTAATGTTGTATTTCTTTTGAGATAATGTTTATTAACTAGAATTATGACAGACTTGCCATCCTATTATCTCACGGTTTAAATGTGCAGTGACCTGTTTACAAAGGGAAACCATGAGGCAGTTTGAATTGTTTTGGGACTGCTATTGCACTAGCCTCTTTCCAGGGCTGTGTTTAGCAGTTGAAGAATTTTATCAGAGAAATGTGTCTTATATTATGAAAGGGAGAAGTGTTTCAAATGGACTAACCTTAGCATTAGTCTTAAATCAGAATGTCCTCCTCGAGTGGAAAGACCAGGTGGTATACTAGTATTTTATGTTCACTGTTTGAGACAAGATTATTTTATAAGAGCATGTTTTGCATTTTCCATAACAGGCATGGCTCATGGATTGGTTGATGGAGATGACAAGAAGCTCTGTAGATCTTACTAAGAGATGCAGCCTCTTTTTTTAAAGTTGTTTTTTTAAAAATAAGGCTAGGAGCACAGTAAAATGTAGGGCAGTTAATGAATGATTGTTTGGATCATTTTAGATATCCTGAACTGGTGATTTTTACTACTTAGAAAAACAGAAAAGCCCACGTACATAATGGACTTTGTACATCTATCGCCCTATAAACATACATTCAATCTTTTGGGTGCTGTACAGACTTTCCAGGGGCTGGATCCAGAAGGCCATTAAAAACCTCCCATTATGAAAGCAAAATGCTCCATATTCAGCTCCAATCAGGAACCCAAAACCTTCCCACAAATTATGTTTCCAGCAGGTCCCCCATATCTGGGCTAGGATAGATGAGATTGGGTGGTCTTTCAAAAGGTTGAAGACCCAGTCATTGTGAACTCTAAGTCTCCTGTTTAAACAAGGTGTCTGAAGTGTATCAGCTGGTTGCCTCTATGGTAAAAATCATACAAAGGGGTGGGGGAGTCAGGTCTCTAAGGTATTCAAGACCCATATCTATTTAAGTCTTTTTAGAATCAACATCTTGAGATCCAGTGCAAATCAAGACACACAGTAATAATGGGAAATACTGCTTGGTTAGGAGGCTGCTGCATTCTGCACTTTCCAAATGGGTTTAAGGTGTACCTTTATCTAGAGTTACCCTAGTCCAACTGGAAATGATCAAAGCATGCATAACAGTCATTTTTCCTGTTAAATGGTAAAAACTTTGAACTAAATCCTACAGTCCTTACAGCAAAACTGCCAATGGTGACAGTGTGAGTTTTGTCCAAGACAGGGTGACATAATCAGCCATTGTGTGAGCAAACGGGAAAAAGCACACTACAAAAGAAAAAAATATCAGAGCCACGATGAGCAAGACACCCAACTGGTATAAACTGGCATAGCAACATTGACTTAGTGGAGCTCTGCAAATTTACACCAGCCAAGCCTCTGGCCCTATATCTTCAACCCTCATGGGTATTTTTTTAATCTATGTGCTAAACTAGTACAAAATACATAATATGTGTTTCTTTTTTTCTCCAGATGGAACTTGGCAAATCAGCAACTTGGGGTCTTTTTTACTCTGCCCATTCACTATTTGTTATGGGGCAGCTCCCTTTTATGGGGAGTTAGGGCTGTCTGCCCATAACTGCCTTGGGAAGGCCCCCCCTAGGGAGCAACTGACTCCCCCAAGTGGCTGATTAGTAAACAAGCACCTGGATCTAATAAAGGACACCCAACCTCAGTTAGAGGGGAGTTGCAAAAGGAGACAGGAAGCTCCGGTGGTGACAAGCTCCCAGGAGACACCTGAGCAGGGAGCCTAGAGGGCTAGCTCTTTGGGGAACCCACCAGAATGGTGATCCAAGAGAGGGGAGCCTCCTAGACAGAGAGCTGCAGTCAGCGGGCATCCCCTGGTCTCAATCAGACACTGTCTAGAAGCCCAGCCTGGCCAGGATCACCTGCTGTCCCTGGAGAAGAGTTGCAATGGACAGACGTCTCTGGACCCCTGACTCCAGAGAAGGATCTTACTCGATAGGGGCAAAGAGCCTAACAGCAGGGGCAGAGCCTAGAACTGAGAGAACCCCTGGGGAGGAGCCAGAGTGGAAGTGAGCACTGGACTCAGGTGGGGGAACAGATGGACAAAGAATGACAGTCACTCAGCTGAGAGGTTGAGGTGAAAGTTTTGTTCATGGTCTGCATTAGCTTTTCTGTTAATAAGAGAGACCCTGCACTGGGGTGGGTGGGGGCAGGCTCTTTAGCATCTAACAGTCTCTATGGACTTGTTGCAACCCTGTGTGAAGGGGAAAAAAATCAAATAAGATCCCACCTTCAACACCACACCCACTTGTGAGATGGTGCACCAGCTCAGCCTGGAATGAGGACACTATTAAAAAAAACAAAACTATTTAATCGACTAACCCAAATATCAAATAAGGAGAGTAGAGACTAGTTGTTCCCATCCTTGCTGTGTTTGGTCAGCTGTCCAATCTCATGAATAGCTACCTCATCATGTCCCAACGATTGCTTGCTGGTTTAAAGTGTTTCTACTCCAAAAAATAATTCTGTGAGAATGACATTGTGGGCATCCTGGTTTATTGTTCCTCAGTGGCTTCCATATGAAAATTGCTCAGTTTACAGTTAAAAGTTGGATTTTTCAAACCTCCAGTCCTGCAGGCTCAGTCTTAGATCTGACTGTCAGGCTGGGTTCTTTCTCTCTCATACTTCATGGTCAGTAATATAAATTCCACAGACCAAACTGTGCCCTCCAGTTACATTTGTGCAATACCATTCATTAGCCTTCACTGGGTGTCTGCATTAGCGCAGGACACACTGAGGGCTCAATCCTGCAAAGTGCTGAGCACGTGGGCCCCAATCTGCAAAACACTTATGCAAAGTGTTAATTCCCCTGGGGCTATTCATGTGCTTCAAATTAATATAGATTTGGATCTAGCTAAGTCAGGGGTCGGCAACGTTCGGCACGCAGCTCGCCAGGGTAAGCACCCTGGCGGGCCGGGCCAGTTTTATTTACCTGCTGACGCAGCAGGTTCGGCCGATCGCGGCCTCCACTGGCTGCGGTTCACCGTCCCCGGGCCAATGGGGGCGGCAAGAAGCTGCGGCCAACACATCGCTCGCCCGCGCCACTTCTCGCCGCCCCCATTGGTCCGGGACGGTGAACCGCGGCCAGTGGGGGCTGCGATCGGCCAAACCTGCCGCGTCAGCAGGTAAATAAAACTGGCCCGGCCCGCCAGAGTGCTTACACTGGCGAGCCGCGTGCCAAACGTTGCCGACCCCTGAGCTAAGTACTTAAACACTGTGCTTAACTTGAAGCACATGAGTAGATCCATGGGAATTAACATTAAGGATTTGCATAAGTGCCTTGCAGAGTGCTCAGCACCTTTCAGGATCGAGCCCTTGCACAGTGGAGTTGCACTGATGGTGTGTGATTAGCAAAGAACCAAGCCTGACTTTCAGATCCCAGGAAGCATTATCAAGGATGACAGATTAACTTGTTATATTTGTGCAAGACACAAATTTGACTTGGGATCACTGCCTTTATGCCCTTAATGCCTTTTTAGAGTGAATCTTCACACTGAACACCCACTTTCAACCTTACCTATCTTTCAGTTATTTGAAAGGAGTCTTTTTAGGCCTGGATGTAGCTTTGTCAAGGGGCATAATGAAAGGCAACTAGACTGGTCATCGCGTCTTGATTAGGCCAAACTCAACTGAAATAACATAAGCCAGAGGTTTTATGCAAAGTTTTTGCATATTTTTGTCAGAGTTGCACTGCACAACTAACAAGGGTAAAAATCAATCAAATTTTCGTGACTGAAAAGTGCAGGGACAGATCTTGATTTATTTTTCATGGATGACAGATGCAAGGTCATTCTCAAATGATGCTTAGGCGTTTGATCAGAATGGTGAAATCCCCTCAAAGCAGGTAACAACCCAGAGTGACAGCACATACTGTATAGTTCCTTTCTGAGTGACCAGGACACCTTAATATTTTTAAAGGCAGAACTGAATTTTCTAATGTCAGTGCAGGTGCAAAAACTGATGTTTGAAAGCTGTTCCTCAATCTAGAGAAAAACCAATTTCAGCTAAATGGCACCAGAGTCAGTGGTATTAGCCAACTAATTGCTACCTAAAAGGAGGCTACATTCAGAGATTTTAGAATTGAGTTTCATTCAGATTTAAAGTGTACTACTTTTAAGCGATGGATAATTCCTTTCAATACAACTTGCATTCTGAGCATTCTGGAAGATACTAAGACTTCTGAATAATGCATAGTGATTGCTTTGGATCTGAATCCTAATACATTTCATGTGCCTGCTAGATGGTATTTGGTCCTGCCATGCGGGCAGGGGACTGGACTCGATGACCTCTCGAGGTCCCTTCCAGTCCTAGAATCTATGAATCTATGAATTAATGGCAGGACACCATGTCTCCAAAACTCCACACGTGCAAAGAAACAATTAATTTAATCTAAGAGGAAAATTTGTTTCTTACACTCTCTCGCCTGCGCCTCATCAGGCAACTTACAAAACATGGCATCATTTCAGGAAGTTGCAACATTTCAGTAGAAATACAGGAAACCTCCCTCCAAAACGGGACTTAATGTTACGTCACAAGGGCTGCTCCATCTGTTTCTGAAAGTGTGTCAGAAAATGATGTACTCCTCATTCAGTGCCCGTACCTCCGTGGCAGCATGTTGGAATCTAGCCTTTCATCCAGGGGTGGGGAAAGGAATGTGCTTTTCTGTTTAGTTTTTTATCTGCCTGTATGTTTACAGCTCCGATTGTAATTCATTTTACTGTCTAGGCTTGCTGTGAAGTTTACACATCAAAACCCATACAACTTCTTTTGGTTCTGAAGTATTGTCTAGCCAGTGACTTGTTTTTACTACAACACCACAACCTGGTCCCTGCACCCTTGTTCCTTCCTTCAAAGAAAAATGGTACACGATTACTGCACAAGTTAGTCCTTGCAGGTGCAGATGCGTTAAAGGGTATTTATTAACTTCACTTTGTTAGCAGTTAGGAAGAATACACTAAGGAGCATGACTGTGCAAAACAAGGCATTTGAGAATGGAGGAGGGAAAGCAAGGGGCAGAATGGCAAGGAAAACAAGAGAAAGAACAAAAAAGTTTCAAATGTATGTAGCAGCAGATTCTTAAGCTGTTCTGCACAGGCAGACCCTAGCATTCCTGCAGAACAACTTGCAGGAGACGGACCCAGTTGCTAACAGGAATAAAACCAGCTCTAGAAGGAGTTTGCCCATGAAGAAAATAACCCAACACAAAACTATTCGACATATTAATTAATAAAATGGCACTCAGCTTCAAAATTGTTTTAAGAGATATCCCCAAATGGTGCACTTCTCTGAGAAAGGTAGCAGAGTCATTACTTGGATGGAAGACAACGGGCAAGATTGTGTCTGTTACAATCGGGTAAATCAGGAGGAACTCCTATGGAGCTATTATATTCCTCCTAATTTACACCAGCTTTTCAGAATCTAGCCCAACATTTGCCAGTATTATCGCATTTTTAAAGTTCAAAGTGACTGTGTAACCAGTGATTTCTAAATTGACCATTTTTAGGGTCAATATTGTTAGTATTAATTCATTCTTATGAGCCTTGTTGTTATTAAGCAGCCTGACACCTTTCATAATCCTTTTCAGTGCTATCGATTGGCAGCATCATCTCTGCACTGTTGGGCTAAATGTGTTCAGAAAGATTTAGGTATCTGGGAAAACTGCAGTGAGTGATACAGGTAGTCTTTAGGTGTTGCCCTTCCTCCGACTGTATGGTAGAGTCTCGAAGCTTTATGTATGTTTCCATTTTAGGAGACGAATCTGAGGCTGTAAACTCAGGCTATAGGACTACTTTACACAGGCCAATTCCCCTTCTAGATTGCGGTTCAGTATTTCCTGTTTGGGACAGCAGTGCCCAGGCTCCCTGTGCTACTTCCTGGAATTAGAACATAAATGAGTCTTTGACTCTATATCTTCTTCCTCAAAAAGAAGTGCTCAGAAAGCTGTATGTACCAGGAAGAATGTCAGAGGATAGACGTGCAATGGTATCTGGGGGGAAATTTTTTTTTTGGGGGGGGGGAGGCTACAGCAGCAGATTTTCAACCCTTCTCCAATCTTTATTTTGAGGAAAATCACCCTGCAGAGGCGAATACTCAAAACCACACAGAACAAGGTCAGTTAAGGATGGCCTGTCTGCCCTAACTCCAGATTTCATTAATTTAACTTTGGCTTTGTTTTCTGTGGTTACATTTCCTTGGGTTTTTACATTTTTACTGACACAACAAAGATGTGATGGTTGGCACAACAAACAGTCATGGCTTCTTCTCTCGTCAATGACCGTGTCAACTGGTATAAATACAGTATTAAACAAAGTGACATGGCTACCTGCCTTGTCATTTCTTCTTGTGTTTACTTAGAGAGGAAGGATGATCCAGTGGTTAGGGTTCTAGCCTGGGATTTAGGAGATCTGAGTTTAAGTCCCTGCTCCACCAAATTCTTCCTGTGTGACCACAGGCAAGACACTTCATATCTCTGTGGCTCAGATCCCCATTTTATAGATGGGGGAAACAGTATTTCTCCACTTCATAGACGTGTTATAAAGATAAATACATTAAAAAGTGTGAGGTGCTCAGATGCTTCTGTCATGGGGGCCTGCCATACAAGGTACCTAAAACAGACAAACAATTCTGCACCTACTGATATAGTATGTAGCAAACAGGGGTTTGTGTTCAAATTGTAATAGATTCTCTGAAAACTTGGAATTGATGCCAGGAGGATTGATATCCACCCATAACAGGGGTCTGTTCTTGTCATTAGAAAAAGTAACTATCCCCCATCTGAGAACCTGCTTCCTTCTCAGAATGCATTTCCCCTCTCTGTGAGAAAAGCAGATGATGATTGTCTGGTTGTTCATTATGTGCTTGTACTGGGCTGCTGGTTTTCCTCACTTTAACAGAAAAGAGGCAACTGAAGAATGTATTTTGGAAACAAGAAGCATATAAACAATGATGGTCTGTGGACTTTGCAAAGAACACGGGACACTCTTCAGACCAACCAACTTTGACAGAATCCTTTCGCCACAAGGAGAATGAATCCAGTACAGATGTTACACCCGGAACAGTTTCTCAAAGCAAGCACTGAATGCACTAGTATGTAGAAATGGTATAAAAGTGCAGCAAGCCAAAGTTGAACAGCAATACAAAGCATTAGTGATCTCAGTTCTGGAAACCTTAGATAGAAATATTAGTTTAAACATAAAAGCAAGCATTCGGAAAGCAGGCAGGCAATGACAATTGCTTTGCAAAGATTTTATTAAACTAAAGAAAATGTACAGGCAGCAATTTAACCCTAATGCTAAAGCCTTCATTAGGAGACCTCTTATGAATATAAGGGAAAGAAAATCAAATATAGGCTATGTAATTTTTACATTTTTTTTAGAAACATATGTAAAGTAATATTCATTTTTCTTTCTTTAGCACAATATACAGATTTCAGTCACATTTGAAATACAGTCATCAAAAGCACCCACCTCTGCAAGGGAATTAAATCAGAGAGGTCGAGCTGCTTTGGTCAAGTGACAATAACGATGTAGTGCAGGAGGCTCAAGTTCAGGAGACAATTCTGATCTCTTGCTCTCTGAGGCCTGTGGAGTTTAGTGCATTAGGGAGTTGATGCACTTGGGTTCCTAGCATATGGTGATTTGTGTTCCCTACATGAGTATCTTCAAATGGTACATTAACAGAGGAGACACTGACTCAGGGAAAGACCTTCTACCCCCACCCCCTCAACAGCTGGAAGAAGGAGCTGCAGCCACAGCTACCTAAAAGGGGGAATAGGGTCTTTTGAACCGCATTCTTGGTTTCCCATTTGCACCGGCCATTGGTGATAAAGCCCGGCAGATGGAGGCAGAACCAGAACTCGGATGTCTGGAGTGACATCACCAAACTCAATTGATCAAAAGCAATTTAACGGATAACAATTTTACATCTTTTTATACAACAAACCACCCTCGTTCATACAACTGTTTGTCTTCTTCTAAACATGGGACTGTAGCCTCCACTGAGATCTGCCTTGCCATTCAGTCACCATCTCCCAGCGTCACAAGCCAGGATAACTGGGAGTCTACATAGTAGGTGGTTCTTGCTCTCCCATCTTGCCCACATTTGGATTCAATTGACTTGCTGAGGTTCATGCAAATGCTCTAACATCTCAACAACAGGCCCCTTTGACGGCAGGAGGATGCAACATGCATCTCGAGCAAACACACAAAACCACTGCCCAAAATAGAGAACATTCATTTCCAAAGGTTGTTTTTTTGTTAAGGCTGTGAATAAGTCCTCCAAAGCCCCAATGAGAAGTGAAGGGAGTTCCCCATTGCCAATACTCCCTTAACAAGAACTATGAATATGAGAACCAGTCTCAAGACTACAACAGGAGATGGAGCAGGAGGAAGATAGGGTGGGGAGGGGGAAGGAGGCGGCCTGGTTTTCTCAGAACACAATCTCCAGATCATCTGCTTTTCTTTTGTAATCCTATGTCCTCTGTCAGTGCTAGAAAGCAGCAACACCAACAATAACAAAAATCAATGGCTCAGGAAAAGAGAGAGAGCGAGGATGAGGGAGTGAGAAAGCCAAGTATGAAGCAGCTCCGCTTTTAGCTGGAGCATGGAAGCAGAAAGGATGCAAAAGTCATCTGCACACACAGGCTGGGCATGTCAGTGATTCTTTTTGCTCTCATTACCATTCTCCAGGTTTTCACTGCTTTCATAGCAGCCAGAATCCCGGGGGGAGCATCTGCTCAGTCCCTGGCCTTCTATGAGAAGTTTCTCCTGAGACCCCGACTGGTCGCTGTTACCTGGAGGAGGTGAGAGCGCACAATGAAATAAAGGCCATTACACACGGAATCTGGTGCAGGTTCTTGGGCTAACCACTTCCTCTCCTCCCCAAACACTTACTAGCACCCACTGCGTCAGCCCAGATATCTGAGCATTAGGAGGGGATAAGGCTCTGTGGAAAGTAATCACAATGGGGAATAATCACCCGAGAATGACAGGCTGGATCTAGACCCAGTATCACAGCTGCCCAGAGCTGCATGGGGCTGTGAGTACTGGGGTTTATGACTCTGCACTGGGAACAAGGAGGGAGGCTGCTAACTAGTTAAGTGGGGAGGTGGTCGCTCTGTGTGGTTTGCAGAGAGCGGCAGAAGAGGGCACCGGAGAGGTTTGTTGGGGAAAGTTCACTGGCGCTGAAGGCGACCAGGAGCACCCAAGACTCACCACTAGACTAGAACTTTGCTCAGGACTCCTGAACTCTGTGTGCAGACACATTGCTCGGTGTCTGCCCTTTCAGCCTGTGCTACCACTGGGCCCATGGGGCCTTGGTTTGGATGCAACCCTGTTCTACTGCTCCCCCTATATTTCCCCTTGTTGTTTTTCTCCTCTCATCCCTCTGTAAATAAATATTTCCCTTTTTTATATCCATTGTACTTTTCCTGTGGGTGGGTGTCCACTCTGGGGGGTTTGGAACAGATGCCCCTGGGGTAGAAGGGATTTTTCCTGCTGCATTCCTGTGCGCGCCTTCTCTTGGCCAGAGCTGCCTGCAGAGCAGACTCCATCTTGGCCACGAGGGCGCTAAAGTTACAAGTGTGAGAACAGTGACATGAATAAAAGAAAGTGCAGCAGGGACTTGTTTAATGGGATAGTGTCAAAAGCCTTTGATCAAATAGCTGACCTATCCTGCAGAGGGAAGCCAGGGGAAGGATCAGATGGAATTACTAGTAATTCTTCCCCATAATGGGGCAGAGAGTGAGTGGGAAACTAGTGGTAAGAATTCCTTCCTCCCTGGCTCTGTGACTATCCCCAGCACTCCCAGCAGGGGGAATCAGGCTGTGTGCTGGAATCCAGGAATTGGACCTTAGAGTTTGGTCAAACTGTTTTGTACAGAAACTAAATTCAGGACTGGAGAAATCAAACCACCAATTGCCTGATGCACAGCTGCTGTTTATGTTGTGTTGTGTTATGTTCTTCAACAAAAGCCAGAAACTGCTAGTCTGATGCCTATTCTCAGAGCATGAAAAAAATGTAATTATGGAGCAGACACAGAAGCTGCTGCTCACACAGGCTCCAGCTGTCTCTTTCCCACTCCACTTCTTGTCCACCCACATCACACGCAAGAGGAATTCATTCTCTTCAACCCCCCTCCAAATAATGCCTTACATTTTAAAGCCAAAGTGGAAGGTCACTATAAAAAACTATTACTGCAAAAAAAGTGAACATACTAAATCAATCTTGTAAACAATGAGGTAAAAATCATATTAGGTGACAAAAATACCCCAAACCAGAAAGGAAAAAAGCCTAAAGTTTGTAATTTGAATTTATTCCTGGGGAATGACAGAAAAGTTAAGGATGGCTCTGTGAAAATAGTGTAGACTAATTGCAAACGGTACAAGGAGAGGTCCGAGGAGAAGGGAGAAATGGCACCGTTTGTGAAAGTGTAAACCTACAGCACAAATCTCTTAGCAACAATATTGGACCCACTGGCTGTGTTAGCAACACTTGATTTCCAGATGAATGAGCCCCATATTGTTCTATGACTAGAACCCTGACTATTCAAGCTTAGCTGATGTATTTTTTCTCTTAAAAGTTACACACACACACACACACACACACACAGGACAGAAGATTTTACAGGAAAATAAATAACTGTGGTGGAGTGCAATGCAAATGTAAAACCATCTGCAATTCCCTAGAAGCCTAGTTATTTAACATAGGCACCACAGAAATGCCTAGATTACATTAGACAATATCAACAGATTCCCTCAACTAGTTTCCTCTCCCAGAAGTGGTCAAAAGAGCCCTCAGCAGGGCACTGGTAAAAAGCCAAAACCCACTTACTATCATATTCCTGTAAAAGCTCCACAGCTGTGAGGAGAACAGCTCTGTGCTCAGGGTCTCGGATATTCAGCTCATCCAAATCTTCCTCCTCCAGCAGTTTGAAAGTGTCCAGATCTTCATAACCATTGAATAGAAAAGTGGGCATGTGCTCCTGTGTGGGGGAAACAGGAAACTAGTGAGCTGTACAACAAGGCAAAAGATCTACCACCGGAAAACAAAGGAAAGTTCAACCAATCTGTGCCTATCTAGGCCGTTTCTTCTTCAGCTTTATCTTCCTAACAGATTATTATTTATTACTAGGAATCAACTGTAATACAAAGAAAAGACCCCCCCCCCCATCCACCCTATTTACTGTAAACGCAGGGCCTTTGTTACTCAGGGCATAGGAGGGGCATAACAATGTACATCCACAGACGATACCAGTTCCTCTTTCTTACAGTGGGATAGGTCGTTTAGAAGGCTTAGTTTGTACTAACAGGCTCTGTTTTGATATACCAGTTTTCTTGGAACTGCTGTAAATTCACAGTGTCAATTACAATGCCCTCAATATGCCATGGCATGCACCTATTCATAGAATATTAGGGTTGGAAGGGACCTCAGGAGATCATCTAGTCCAACCCTTTGCTCAAAGCAGGACCAATCCCCAGACAGATTTTTACCCCAGTTCCCTAAATGGCCCCCTCACAAATTGAACTCACAACCCTGGGTTTAAAGCAACCCTGGGTTTAGCAGGCTAATGCTCAAACCTCTATTATGGCAGATTCTTTCTGCAACAATATTCTCAATGGGTAATATTTTCAAAAGTGCTTAAGTCCCATTTTCAAAAGTGAATTAGGCACTTGGGTATCTTTCCAAGAGACACAGGCTGTTAAGGATATGTCTACACTGAGATTAAAAACCTGTGGCTGGTCCGTGCCAGCTGATGCAGGCTCACAGGGCTTGGGCTGTTTGATTGTGGTGCAGACATTCAGGGTTGGGCAGGAGCCTGGGCTCTAAGACCCTGCAAGGTGGGAGGGTCTAAGAGCTTGGCCTGAATGTCTGTACCACAAATAAACAGACCCTTAGCCTGAGCCCCGTGAGCCCGAGTCAGGTGGCACGGACCAGCCACAGGTTTTTAACTGCAGTGGAGAAATACCCAAAGTGCCTCAGTCATGATCCCCCTGTTTCTTTTTCTTGAACCTCTAAGATTTTGAGACCAGAATTTTTAAATTGGGCTTAAATTATTGAGCTAAGAGAAAATATAATGGACACACTTGTTGCGTAAGGAAAGACGAGATTACACCGTACTTTTGCATTTTGCACAGCAATACATCACTGTCATGGTGCTTTCAATGGCTTTCAGCGGGCAGTTCCATAGCTTCATACATTCATTGAAGAGAAACGGTTGCATAGGCATAAGCCTTGGAAGGAATTTACACATGGGATTTTTTTTTTTTAAAACTGCTTTAAATTCAGGCTTTTAAAAGAATTAAAAGTTCATTTTTTAAAAAGAGTGCTTTTGTAACCCCCACACCGCCTGGGTGTGGTGTTCTGTCCCATCTAGTGGCACCGAGACCACTTAGAGAGAGTTAAATGAGTCTGCTCTACAGCCTTAGCTAAGGGCCAGTTGGCTTTTAGCTCATGCGGTAGAGGCTCATGCAGCGCCAGAGGCCCCAGGTTTGATCCCACCTGCCGATGACCGAGGTCTGTTGGCGTTACACTTTAAACAAAGTATTCCAATAATAGGAGAAATCACTGAAGCTATAGGCATCTGTGTTTGAATTTTATTCCCTCTACTCTGCAGATCCCTTAACTATGAATTAACAGAACAACCTATTTTGGCAATGTAAGAAAAAAAATAAAACAGAGGGAATTTTTCACTACTGCTAAAAAAGAATCAGTAGTTTAGCAAATGCAAACAACCATATAATAAAGAAATTATAGGACTGCAGAGTATATAAATACTGTCCTAACCATTGGCATAACCACCTTCCTAAACCTTCAGTGCCACACCTGCTGTTGGATTTAGAATCCAATCTCCTAAAACAGCATGCTACGTGGATGCACAACATATCACATCTTTTCAGTAACAGAGTAATAGGAAGAATAAACTACAGGCATAGCAGTTTATCTCCAACGTGTCTGACCTTGAGCTTCCTGGAACAGGGCCTATCAACTTCCTTATTAAAAGAAACAGTAACCTAATGTCCTTGGATATATGCTAGGTGTGACGGGTTGGATCACAGAAACCCCCTTGGGAGCTGCCACCCGATGTGCCAAGACTGCCCCTGCTCCTGTTTTCCCTGCCAGCTCAGGACTCCAGCACCCTGT